CTCCACAGCTGGTAAAGAGACAGGAATACAAATGGGATACACTACACCTTGCTGGTAGTGCATGAGCTTTCAGTAATGCAGTACAGCAATGGGAGTTGGAGACAGCATGGGAACTACTAAAACCAAAAACTTGGATCTGAAAAAAGACTGCAGGAAACTTGGAAAAGGAACTATTAAGCAACTGTAATTCTTATACTCTAAATGCATACATATGGGTCAAGAACAGGATGGGAATTAAATGATGCAGAACCATGTACCAAAATTGAAATACCTCCCAGGAGGGGGTTTATCTCACTTAACTTTGACAAGCCAAAAAATGAGAGAGTTATACATCTAATACACCTATACTCTTTCTAGACAGCAAAGAAACAGAAGGATCTTGATAGGCACCTACGTTATTTTCCTGGCTATAAGAATATCCTATGCAACTGCTTTTTTTCTTGGCTGAATTTAAGTAATTAAGCAATGTGATTCCTACCCTTATTGACTTCCCTTTGCAACCTCAGTGGTTTGAACTGTGGTACTTTCAAATGGAAATTTTTTGTGTTTAAAAACAACAAAAAAAAGCAGCAGCAAAGAAATATTATCATGTGTTTTCACTCTGGGAATAGAATTGTTTTCATAATCACAGAGGCAGTTAAATTTGCATACTACTTCCTACACACAAGGATTTTGTTTCCATCTGCATGTACCCCAAATTCTGCTGTGTAAAGAAAGTCCTTCTCAATCCTTTCTTTATATGCATCTTCAAAACTCTTATTTCATAGGTTTCTCCCTATTCATACAGAAATGTCACTGCACTACAATACAGATTATCACTTAAATATACATAAATATACATAAAGGCATAAACCAAAAGGTTTATAAATTGTGACATATGCAATTAAAAAATATGTCAAAGGCATAAATATGATCTGGATTAATAACCCAGTTCTGAAGCAAAATTTTAAGTTTCTAGCATGCTCCAACGAAACTGCTGGAAAAACTCATAAAAATCATAAATAATGTTCAAAGTGGAAAAACTGCATCTTAACTTGATCTCCTACCTGCTTATGAGCTGCTTATCTATGTATTTATTTATTTTTATTTTAAATTCTATTTTAAGTAGCACCATTAAAAGATACTGAGGAAAAAAAAACAACAAAACCAACCTTGAGAAATATAAGAAATAAGTCTTTATAATGTAAATGAACTGGCAGCATTACTTTTAGGTGCGTCTACTGATTATGACTGCATTAATGTTCAGTGTTATGTTTCAAAGAAAACAATTATGATCCATGAGAAAAGCTGCATATACTTAATAGTTGACTATCTGAATGGTGTGAAACAGAGAGAGAAGTATAAATTATTCTAAAGAACTTTCCCCTAAAAAAACGTCTCCAGCACAGCATTGCTACTTCAGCCTGCAAAGAAGCCTCCAGTTGAACAAATTAAGAACAGGAGCAGTGAGAAACACACACATATCAACTTATTTCCTGTCTTTCTTGTTTCATCTTGGCAGCTTCACTTCCAGCTTCTCTTCCCTTTCTCCCCTCAGTTTCTTCAGCTCTACCTCCTTCTGCGAGAAAAGAGGTGTATGAAGAAATAAATGTGGGAGTGCTGATTCATCTCTATTTGTTTCTGTCAAAGGTAAATGTGAAGAGCTTTGAGTGCATTGAGAAGTTTGGGAATTGAACCACAAAGGAAGATGGTAGGGAAGTTTCACGCTGGTAGAAAAGCATGTGAAAAACAAGAATATGAATAGAGGAATGAATATTTTGGGGTAAGGAAAAAAAGTGATCCATACTGCTTTTAAAGCTGATTATTACTCGGAGATTTTCCAAACTAAATGTACAGGGCATATATCAGTAAGCAGATACCCTTACATCTTTCTCCATGTTACAGTATTCCCCGTGCTCCTCTGTATTCTAAGAACTAACTCTCTCTAGGTGAGTACCAGTATTTTTATTTCTCATCTACCAAGTAACACTTTCTAGATATGCTAACATCCTGGGGTAGCTTCCTTATGCAGTGATGCATTTGCACATCTTCACTGTTGAAAGATGACTCCTCCTTTACACTTGGTCCCCAGAGAACTTGTCTTTAAATGGAAGTTAGATGTTTCAGTACTTCAAAAGAGTAGTCTGACATTAGCAGAAGTGTCACATTGTGGCAGAGCTATTTTTGCACTGTCTACATTAGGAGTGTCTTGGCATCAGCAGGAAGTCTGACAAAGAGCTGCAAGCTGCTAAACAAGACTGTAGTATGGTAAAATAAAGTATATTAGGTAAAGTGATATGTGAAAGACAGAGTGCACTGTAAGAAAACAATCTGTATCAGGAGCTCTTTAAGAACTAAAATTCTAAAAGAAATTCAAAATAGTATGCAAACCATGCAAAAAAAAAGCATGTATGTAAGAGTAGCATGAATAGGCACAGATGAAATACGAATAGAGAAGATGCAGCAAGAATTGTTAAAGTCAAGAAACAAATATCAGCACAAACAAAATCTAAAAATATCTGGATGTTTAAAGTGAATAGTTGCAAGTATTGCTTACATAGTAATAGGTCAGGTAAAAATGCCAACATTTTTTCTGCCAACAGTATCAGCAAGAAGTTCCATTGTGGCCACATATCTAGCAATTAGTTTATACATAGAGATGATGGCATAGGACAGGATAGGAAATTAACAGTTTAAATATTTGGAGAAGCAACTGAACTTAGAGTCAGCAAGGACTCATGAAAATAACCCTGAAGTAGATAAGGGATTATCTGAAATAATCTCTAAACCAGTAGTGATTATCTTCAGTTGCTCCTGGAGAATGGGGGAGATATGCTACAGAAGTGTAGAAGTGCAAAAAGAGTAAAAAACCTCTGAGAACTACAGATCCATTTCCTAACATCAATTTCAGAAGTATGATAAGTAAATCATCATTTTGTGAAATGGTAGTAGTAAGGTAATAATTCAAAATGGGTTTTCAAGAAATCTTAACCAGAGGCCTTGCTCAAAGCACTGTGGATTTCAAACTGTATGTGTCTTCTAACGGCAAAGAGGCAGGAAGTCTTCTTCAGGCACGTTTTGCTGTACACTTCAGTTGCATTCCAGCCTCAAACTCCTGGTCTTAAATAATGGTTTGCAGTGAAACGGATTCTCACTGACTGTTGCATCTCCTGTTATGATGATCAGTAATTAAAATACACAGGCTGCACACCTGACAAAATCCGTAAAGGTTTAAGTACAAGCAAAACGTTCACTTACTGCTATCAGAAGACTCTATCAGAACATATCATGTTCTGTATAGTTTACTCTCTTCATCACCAAGAACACAAAATGTGAATTTATTATCCTAGCTGTTGTTTCTTAGACCCTTACCCACAACACCCACTTATATGAACACGAGGTGGACTACTTTATTTATAGAGTTCACTATTGCAATAGATAATGGAGAAGACCAATGCAAGTACTCAATATGTAATAAAATATTGCTGCAGACTGGTCACAACACAGTCACTATGTCAGACACTATGTTAGAACATATGCTACTGCATATAGTGAATTTGAAAAAAACAGACTGGAACTCTAAGAGTAATAAAACCTGCTTGCATTTATAGCCACTTTTTATTGACTTATTCACCTATATCCTTGGAGTGGCTTTTATTGAGTAGATTTCTTTAAAAGGCAAAAGAATCTGGCTTAGTAACTATGAACTGGAATCACCCTAAAAATATTACCGTACACTTCTTTTTGCTATTCATATGTAAGGAATTACGAAATCCCATGAATAATTTATATTACTTTCTTAGTAATGTAAATGAAGTAATGTAAAATCTAATAGTAATACCCTGTAAATTATAAAGATCACTAAATAGAGAACAGCAAACATCTATAAAGAAGGCATCATAAGCAAAAATCACCACTTCTGTCAAAGACATTGCTTAATCAATTGAATACTTAAAAAGGATTAACCTAATAAATGAACTATTATGATTCTAGGAAATGTGATTCCAAATAACTTTTGAAGACTAGAAAAATAAATTCAATTTATAATCTGTTTCTACCAAAGATCTATGTTGAAATCCAGTACAAATTCTACACAATATAATTTGAAGATCTAAGGAAAAATTAACCCGAGTATAAAGTATAAATTAAAGACATTACTAAATCATAATTTATAAAAAAAGTTGCAGCCTGAACACATTGAAAGAAAAAAAGATTAAGAAGCTGCACAGGCAATTCTTCCAGGAACAGCTGTGCTCTTATACTTTTGCCATCAATTTCTACCATTCAAATACACGGAAATACATTTTCAATATTGTACATTCTCAAGAATCAATATAATTTCATGTGTCATTCCAGAATCTTGAATAGTTTTCATTTGTTTTTTCCTGGAATAGTAATGTGCTGCCCAACTAATAATTTTATGTTTCTCCAGGGTTCGTTTAATACTTCTGCTTTCATTAGCAAGCACTACTTATGAATTTACAGGAATAACTTAAAGCAGTGTAAGCACCTTTGTACTTCTAGGAAGAAAGATGGAATAAGACAGCCTTAAGTAAATCGACTCCTAGTCAACTTATAGAGGTAAAAGTACTGTCTCCCAATAAACCTCTGTAAGTCTTGGTTTACTAGCCACAGGATTTCCACATGCCTACTTCAAAATCAACAAAATTAATTTCAAGCACATTTTAATTAAAAATATGTAAAAATTAAGTATTTGGTCACATCTACACATCTGTGAAATGACCAGAAAGGATAAATATTTTGCATTAAAAAAACCTTTAAAATAATAAATGCAATCTGATTTTCTACCATTCTCTTTTCTATAATAACACTGCAAGTCTTGAAAATGTCACGATACTTTTGATTGACCCACACAACCTCTCCCTGTTCTTTCTTCCCCTTTTCCTCCACATAGACGCGTTTTATATATTGCAACTTAAATGTGAATTATTTTCTACCCTTGGAAAACTAGAAATATCTTACAATAGCACAGACAAAAAAATATGTAGGAAGTAACATACATTTTGTAGTGTCAAATCACTGATGTTAGTTGACATCGCTCTCAGCCAGTCAGCACTCTCCTGGGCTGTATAAAACTGAAGTATCCCAGTACTAACTCCATCGAGTGCCAGCACTTCAAATGCATTAGATCTGCAGTAAGAAGAAATATATCTGTAAAGGAAGATACGTCAGTTTTCTGAAACTGCCCAATATTTCTCAGTGTTCAAGTGATTTTACACCTTTTGAAAAGTTTTGAGTCTTAGCTTTACAAATCAAACGAAAGGCAACAAATAGAAGAATAATAATGGGCAGCACCAGGAGCAACACATACAATAAGTACTTTCTATGTACCACCATATATGTGCTGATCACTTACTTCCCTGGAGTGTATATATTATGCTCATAATTACTGAACTTATGATAGTGCATTCAGGAAGTATGCATTACATCTTTTTGAACAAACATATATTATTTTAAACCAAAATTATTATTTTCCTCATTGCATTTTAGTTTCACTTACTAGTAATGTATTAAGTTGCAAGGACTGACTTCCCTAGCTTTAATTTCTTGAATTCCTACACTTTTCTACATAACATTTTAAGCAGTGTTTCTTTTAAGTTCTTTTATGACACAGAAATTTGAAAAATAATGTACTTAAAAGTTTCTTTAAATAACTTTGGAATGTAGGGCCTTTTCTCAAAACAGCACTGATGTGCTAACATGCAATTGCCATTTAATGTGGTTTTTACTCATCTTTTAAGTGTTTATATAGTTATATAGTTATCTATACTTTTAAGTGTATATAGTTTATTCTGCAAATGCTAATGCTTTCCTTACTATCTGCAGTAAGTCAGGCACAATGTACCTAACTCTGAAATCCCATATTTAGATACTGATGGGATATGAATGATGATTATTTTTTTTTTTCAACAGGAACAACAAAAGTTTAAGTAGCAGTATGGAAGCCTAAATTTAAAACATGTGACATGCAATAGTTTCAGCAACTAAACTTTGGCAACCTACATAGGTTATTTAAGTGCTCATGAATGACATGAGAATTAGATTTTAGTCATACACTATTGTGAAAGACAATTATAATTTTCTGAATGATTGTGCAAATGTTTGTTTTGTATATAAATCTGGAGAATATCACTGCTACCTTCTACATTCAAAAATTAGGTATTTATACCTAAATGCTGTATTGCTTTCTTTTTGGTACTAACCTAGAAGGAAGCAAAACACTGAATGAAGATAACTGCTCTATGAAGCTGCTGGGTTTTCCTGGGATTCTCTGATCTGAGGTAAAGTCTTCTGCTTAATTTATGATACATGTCAATATAAACATTCAAAATAACACATAGAGGTTAATAGGCAGTTGTTCATTCATGTATTACTGAAAAAGTTAGTAATCTAACATTTGTCGCTTGTAGGGAATTTGATGATGAACCTAAATACTGAACCCTATACACTTGCTAAAAATGTAATGTAAAATACTTATCACACACAATATTTACAAGACAAAGTATTCTAATAGATATGCTTAAGTATTAAAAGAATCAGAAAGGGGTACACCTGCTGTTCCCAAATCAACTTTCTTGGCCTGAACTTTTTAAATGTACACCACAGATTCCTTTGTTTTCTTTTCACAACTGAATTATCATGGTAACTACTAAAACTCGATGGTGATGGCACAATTCTGTGTCACTTTCATTTCAGTAAAACTGTTTCACCTCTTCAGAAAGAAAGAAAAGGTCAAAACAAATCCTTTTATTGTCTGCAAGTAAACCGAGTGAAATAATCACCTCTCAAGCACACTGTTCCTTTTACCTAAGGCTCTGACAAAGATCCCAACAGTGCTGTAATGGATTGACTTACAGTATGATCTTTTCAACATCTCACTGAGACAGTGAAGATCTGTCCTCCCCTATGCATTGACACACAGTGGAGAATGGAAGCAGACTTAATTTGGTGCTGTGAAGAGAAGCCATTCACAATACCTAACTTGGACATCAAATTCAAGTATCAAAGCTAAAATGCCAGAGCCCTTACATGAACAGAGAAGACAATCCAGAGCACTTAACAGAGCCAAGAAATGCTCTCCCCTGAATCCACAGGGTGCCTAGATACTAATTCAGCTTCACTTCATAAAGGCATGCAGTGTGAATGCCTTATCCAAATGGCACAAAGTTACACAAGAGGCTGATGAGAGATCACAGAAGGGAACTCCCCAGCTAGCAACTAATGCAACCAACACAGGCAATCAAGATTAAAAAGTAAGAAGTTTTATTAAAAAAATAACCAATTTTTATCATTTGGTTCTGGTAATAGTGAATATTGCACTAAAACCCCTGTTGTCCTTTACTTTAAAATATAGTGATCAGTTGTAATAAACAATTAACAAGTCTCAAACAAACACATCTGGGATCTGAACTCTTACTGACAGGATATTTGCATAGAATCTAATCAGGTGTGAAGGATCCTGCAAGTCCTCTGGACCAGCCTCCTCACTAACTGGTATAAAATACACATCTTTTTTCCACTGGAGATGAAACTGGACACAGTATTTTAGATGCAGGTATTTCAGATGTGGCCTCAGGAATTCAAAGTAGAGGAGAATAATCACTTCCCTTGCCCTGCTGACTACAGTGTAGCTAAGGCACCCTCAAGTGTAGGTCTTCACCAGTGAAAGCGCACACAGCTGACTCATGCTCAACGTGGTGTCCTCCAAGATCCCCAAGCTTTTCCTGCAGTATTTTCACTTTGGTTTATTTTGAATTAAACTTAGAGTAATGATGTAAGATAACTGAAGTAACACAGACATTATGCTTCTACAGGTATTTTTTAACTGATGTGGCAGTAGAAGCGGCTGGATTCCATTAGATTTGTAAGAACTTGTGCAGAAGAAAGTGATAGTGGGAGGCAGAACAGTTAGCATTCATGAAACCTCTTATTCTGTTCCCTTTGAAGTCACAAATAGTTACACTGGCACACTGAGGAAAAAGAACAAGGTTAATATCACCAGCTGAAAGATACGAGAGTAGAATGCAGGTGTGAGGTATTTCACTTTGCTGCAGACAGAAAATATCTGAGGAATTCCAGTCTTAGCATGCTTTATTTGTATTGAAGAGGCAGAAGTTTTGCATGGAAACAGGAACAACCTGAATGACTGAAACTATATGCAGTATCAGTGTATTATTGTCGTCGCTTGAGTGCAGAATGTGCACTAGGACCAGTGATGAGCTGGAGAATGAAGTGCATATATAATTATTAATTTCCTTTTTATAATTCCAGCACAATTATGAGTTGATAATAATTCAAGTGAGATGGATTTCACCCCACTCGAGCATATAAAGTGCTGTTGCCTAAGTATATGGATGACAGGCAGCAGACAAAAGCAGGAATATGGCAAATTTAAATTCAACATTAGATTTTTGTTTTGTTTTTTACCCAGGAGGTGATCAAATACTAGCATAGCTTGCCCAGAGCAGCTGTGGAATCTCCATCCTGGGAAGTGTTCAGAAATTGACAAGAGATGGCCCCGAGCAATTTGCTTTCACAAGACATGCTTTGAGCAAGGTGCTGGACCAGCTGACTTCCAGGATCCCTTCCAGTCTGAATTATTTGATTATTTTATAGCGAGTCATGCTAAACTCAGGAACTATTTTGTTTTACCATAAGCAAGAGCATAAGACAGCTGAACTGGATAATTCTCTGGAGATGCTTATTTCCTTCCATTTACTCCAAAGTGAGGCTGGGGATTTAGCACATTGATAGGTTAATGACTATTAGGGGTCTACAGTCAGGGGGGATGAATCTCATCCATTAAACTCCAACCCCACAAGAATTTTGTGAATGGTCCCACAGCATTTAGGTAGAATGTAATTTTGCCTTCAGTTATTGACATGCAGATGTCCTTTTAGATTCAGAGTATAAAAGTCACTTGTTAATTCTACTCAGCAACTGTAAGAAAATACTAGTAAATATAAATTATCAAATTAAATAAGATTAGTTTCACCATCTTATTGAATGAATTGGCATATAATTATTATCAAAGTTAAAAACTCTTCAGCTGTATTTTTAAAAAGTCTTAATGCAAGTATTTACAATTTATTTTAATCACTAGGATACTAAACATGTATGTGCTTTTCTATTTGCTCCTTAAGCACAATGGAAGTATGTGAGAGAGGTTACCATCTTAAAAACAAATCTCTCAACTGTATTTTACAGTAACACTTGTAAAAACTTGATTTAATGATGTGTTCAGAGCTGATTTGATATGTCAATGGCTTCAGTCTCCACTATAATACCTAAGTGTCTCATTAGTTTTTTTATATACTTGAAATGGCTAACAAGACCTATATCTGGATAATAATTATTTGACTGCCTGCCACTGTAATGCCAGTTTAGATTTGTGTTCAAGTTCAAGCTTTATAAGCTTTTGGCATGAGGAATGTCTATAGCTCATGACAATAGAGCTCTGTCATTACTACAGAGAGATCATCAGTGTCATTATGTTCTATGCAAAAGATTACTTCTTCAAGATGTTCAGTTCTCCACACGATCTAAATATTGAATTTATACTGCCTATAAACATTCAGATATGTTTGTTAGGGAAAAAGAGATGGCCATGTGTTTACACTTAGTAATGTAGAGGGTTTCTTTGAAATCTAATCTTTAATTTTTGACATGCTTTCAGGCTGCAAGTACATTGTATGCAAAAGTATGTCTGATTTCTGGCCAAAACATTTTACATCACTTCTTACATAAGGAACAGGTACTAATGCACCTCTAGTCTCTAAAAATCAATATTTGGTGCTAATCTTTTATTATGTGTGCCATAGCTCCTCTTTAGCTTCTTTTTCCTGCTTACACCTTGATTTATCTCTGATTTAGTGGCTTATTCTAGCCAAGGGTAAGTGGCTAGAACTGAGACAAGATCTGCACAATGCCTGGTCAGGCTTGGGACAACTTTCTGCTTACAGTCTGTTGAGCAGATCATACTCTGTAGCCTGAATTCACCTGATCCCTTGCAATTGATTTCCAGAATGTCTTGCTGCTTGAGCAGAATTGTGACAAACACATTGGAAACATTTTAATGATGCTTTTAAAGAAAAACACACATAGCAGTCTTCAGGCAGTCCTTAAAAACT